ACCCCAAACATATGTCAAAGTATTGGAATGAGTTCCCCTTAAATGTATACCTTTCCAGCAGATGTTCCAGTTTTCCCAGCACTGCCTTTAGCAGCCTCTTAAATCCAGACACAACATACCTGAAATTGCATGTGAAATTCTCTGTGAGCTTCATGAGGACTGCTATGGATTGGACCAAAGCCTGAACAGGGACTTGAACCCTGGACCCTCAGATTAAGAGTCTGATGCTCTAACCGACTGAGCTACACAGGCCTGCTGAGAAAAGCAATCCTGTGGGCATGTACGTTTGATAGAACTGAAAACCCCCTAATGAGGCTGTCAAAGTAAAATGTGATTATTTCAACAAATATTAGCGTCCTCTTTCTCTGTGCAGAATGACCTTGTCATGGCCAGTATCTCTGCTTGTGTGTTTCAGGCCAGCAGTGTAGGTGTACTTCACTGACAGCTGGATAAATGAGACATAACATTGACCAGGTCCAAATCCAGTCATGGACCAGTTGGTGTGACTTTCTGTTACCTGTGTGAAACACTCAGCTTTTAGGAAAGTTGTTGGGGACTCAGACTGGGAACCCTCTTGCTGTGAGGCGACACACAACCACACCGTCGTGCCACCATTATTTTGTAATCTGTTTAATAAAAAAACTTAAAAGAAAGTATCCTTGAAGTTTTGGGACACAAATGATTGTTTAGAGAGCAACACACTGTTCTATAGGTAAAGCACAAGAGTATCCCATGTGAAGAACAAGAACTAATATAAAGGATTCAGGCACTGCTGGGATTTGAACCCAGGATCTTCTGTTTACTAGACAGACGCTTTGACCAGCTAAGCTACAGCACCTTGCATACATGCTTGTTCACTTCCCTTTAAGATTTTAGATATGCATTTGCTCCTGTTTTTTTTCACGATTCCACCAATGACTCTCCAGTGGACATAATGAACAAAAATACAGAAGGATATCTAATGCTAACATGCAGGAGGAGGCAGGACTTTGAAACGACTCAACTTTACTTGATACATCATTGATCCCAAAGGAAATTGTTTGTTGGATTTTAACCAGAGTGCAGAGAGCAAAGATTTTGTGATGTCAGCCTGTAGATCCTGAAAGTAAGTGAAACTGGTCTGACTCTTTGTGAAAGACCTTTTACAACCATGCCTCTCCCCATTGGCTACTGGGATAGGCTCCAGTTCCCCCGCGACCCCATTAGGGAATAAGAGGTTACGATAATTGATGGATGGAAGAAACAAATAAAAATAGCAAGTATACACAAGTTATTTCTGCTCCCCATAAGGGAGCCAGCTTCCAGCTGGAGCTTTGTCATGCTGTTGTCCCTGGGCTTTTCATTATACGGATTTGTGGGGAAAAGTAGACCTGACACAATGTAAAGAAACACAGTGGTCTTAGTCAGTAGCTCATTGAGGTCAGAAATAGCAGTCAATCTTCCCTATTTCTCTAGAAAATGAGTAGGATTGAGCATTTTATGTCTGTGACAGCACTTTTTAAGGAAACAGGTAATCGCAAGTTGATATAAGGTTAGATGCATTGGTCGGGAATCGAACCCCGGTCAGTTGCTTGGGAAGCAGCTATTTTCTCCACTATACCACCAATGCCACTTGTAGAAGTGTCTTTATGTGTTGAATCATGGAAGGGCTGATGAGTGGTGAAGATAATGGACTGCCAAGTCTTTGCTCTCTGCACGCTCAGGGTAGAATCCAACACACAATTTTGTTTTGGATATATGAAGTACCAAATAAAGTTAAGTCTTTTTCAGAGCATTTTCCAGCTATAAGTTGAACTTCTCAAAAAGCGAATGTTTTCCTGTAAATAACTTATCCCTTGGGATCCCTGATGTGTGTTTTCCATTTAAAGTGTCTAAAAGCAACTTTAAATATTTAGGAGTGCATATCTGCCGCAAGATGTCAGATCTCTACAAGAACAACTTTCAACCCCTAATTGAAAAGCTTAAATCAGATCTGGAAAAATGGTGTAATTTGCATATAACTATAGCAGGAAGGGTAAATTGCATCAAAATGAACGTGCTTCCACGTTTTCTCTATCTTTTCCAATGCTTGCCAATCTTTTTACCCAATTCCTTTTTTCGTGCTATGAATAGGCTAATTTAATCTTTTATATGGAAAGACATGACTGCCAGAATAAGGAGAGAGCTTTTACAAAGGCATAAGTCGGTTGGTGGTCTGTCACTCCCTGATCTGAGACTCTACTATTGGGCAGCCAACATAAACAAAATTACTCTCTGGATCCGCGAACCTGAATTAATCTGGTGTAAACTAGAAGCTAAATCCTGTTCTACGTCACTCCTAGCTCTACTTACACAAATATTGCCCTTTCGACCATCCCAACATACATGTAACCCAATTGTCGTCTCCACCCTTAAAATTTGGCTCCAATTCAGACGTACTTTTGGACTCATAGGACTGTCCAATCACAGCCCCATACACAACAACCATCTCTTCCTCCCTCCTAGCATTGATAATGCCTTTTCTCTATGGCAGAGATCTGGCCTTGTTAGGCTAAGTGATCTATATATTAACAATGTCTTTGCTAGCTTCAACGAATTATGTGGAAAATTCAACCTCCCCAAATCCTATTCCGATACTTCCAAATTCGTAACTTTGTTAAATCCAATAGCACCTATTTCCCTAATGCCCCACCTAACTCAGTAATTGACTCAATTTTGAACATTCCCACAAATCAGAAAGGCCTTATCTCCAAAATATACACTTTAATATCCCATCTCAAAGAGACATCTCTTGATAAAATCAAGAAAGACTGGGAACAAGAACTTGGTAGGGCTATTGATGACGGTGTCTGGGACTCAGCATTAACTCGTGTAAATAATAGTACGTCTTGCTCCAGGCTTAATCTGATACAATTTAAGGTTGTCCATCGTATTTATTTGACCAATTTTAAACTTTCCAAAATTTATCCCAATGTCTCAGACGCATGCCATAGATGTCACATGTCACAAACAAACATGACTCACATGTTTTGGTCCTGTCCCCGTCTGCAAGATTACTGGACGGCTGTTTTCAAACATCTTGCAGAAGCACTAAATGTGAAATTGACACCTTGTCCTGAATTGGCTATCTTTGGATTAACAGACCATCAAACAATTAAGAAAAAGTTTAAGGATAGTATTGCTTTTGCTTATTTATTAGCACGGAGAGGAATTTTGTTGGAATGGAAGGCACCAGGTGCCCCAAAACCTTCACTGTGGCTTAAAGATCTCATGCTGTACTTAGATCTGGAGAAAATCAAATATGATCTGAGGGGGGCACCTGGAAATTTGTTTCAGTTTGGGGCTGCATGATTAGCTACATAGCTAGATTAAAGACACTACCGGACAAATGAAATGTCCACTTTTGACAACTGACTTTTGATTACATTTTCTTTTCCTCCTTACTTCATCTCAACCCATTGAACATTTTACCTCTCAGTTTTATTTTGTGGTGTTTTCTGTTGATTTATTTATGTTATTCTTACTTCTCTCTCTTTTTAAATTGTCTATATACTTTTTATTCACATGTTTGTGTAAGGTAAGAAGGAAGGACGTGGGTTATTACTGATCTGTAGCATAATCTTGTAGGATTGGGGAGGGCTGGGGAAGGGAGGGAATGAGTGGTTGTTGTTTTTGTAAAAACAATAAAAAATCCTGATTTATTAATGATTAAAAGTGCTGAAGTTTTAATAAAATCCTAAACATCATATACACAGTTTCTGTGAAGGCTAATATCATGAGTTCAGAAGAATCAGAGGAATGCTGTTTTTGAAGCGGATGTGCAATAGGCCCAGGTCATCTTCAAACTTCCTACCCAAAAGTAATTTGATCGTTTTTTAAATCACTGAACCCGAAATTCGTATAAAAAAATATGTAAATGGCAAAAAAAAAAAAAAGGAAAACGTTTACGTCTCCCCGTCGGGGAATTGAACCCCGGTCTCCCGCGTGACAGGCGGGGATACTCACCACTATACTAACGAGGAGATGACGTAATCCCGAATTGAGCCTATTAGTTTCTATACGCCATTGGGTCCGCCATCTTGGAACTGCCCGTAAACTGATAAAAGAAAACGGACTGAACTCCATAAAGCGCCTGTCTACAATGTGCTTTAAGTTAATGCATCTTATTCACCCATTCACACACACACTAATATATCTGGGGAACAAATAGGCACCAAAAAGAAAAACCATCTGTAACTTTTAAAGTAATGCTTCTAAAAGTTTACTCCTGATGTTTAGGATATAAGGAAGCACCAAACCAGTGTCTGTACTTTAATGCTGAGTGTTTTCAGCTACTAAAGCCTGTAACTCTGTTACTGTAATATAAATATTGAAATTTAACATGTAATCTGTGTCCATGATAACCACATCCTGAAAAGTAGATGTGACCTGAGGGTTTTCTCAATAAAGAGCACAAACATTTACATTCAACTGATTTTGATTAATTGTTTTTTATATTATATATATTATATAATTCTTTATTATAACAAATTCAACAATAGGTATACATTTTTTTACTGGTTGACAAAATGAGCCGTACATGAACATCACCTTGCTCAAAGAACAAAACCAACACTCACAACAAATTACAGAATTACTTTATTCTGGCCCCCAGAAAATATTTCGGCCCAATAAAACAATTTCAGCTATTTACTATTTTACTTATTCAAAATAAATTAAGATTTTTTCAAATCAATTTAATATTTTTTAATAAGTGTTTTATTCTTTCCTGGAGAAAATTCATAGTCAGTGTTCACCTGAAGAAAAGAGAGGTAATTTATTTTGAAAGTCAGTCTTATCTAAAGAAAAATAACACCAATGTTTTAATTTTATTTTCACATTCGTTTAATGATTTAGCTATTTTGTTGACTCTCTAGACTGGATTAAGGCCTTTCACTGGCTCTTTATTTCCACAAACTGGTTCCAGTAAGGAGCTGTCCAGTATGAAACATGATAACAGAGTCTGTCAGGGTCAGCGGTCAGACGTCCAGCCACTGCTGCTCCTCTTCCTCCCCACGGAAAGACCTCCTCTTCACACCGTGGTCAGAGCGGACCTCCTCGTCCCTGACCACGTCCCCTGTGGCCTGAAAGAGCAGGACGTGCCCGTCTCCTTCTGGAAGGGTCACTATGCAGTGGTGTGGCTGGACATTAAGGTTTTTTTTGGAGCGTCTGATCCATCTGCCTACGGTTTCCAGAGACAGAGACACTCACAGGGGTTATGTTCATGTTTGGATGGATTTACTGTGCTCAGACACGTGTACATACCTTTTCCTTTCTGTCCTCCCAAAAAGACCTGACCATTTCTGCGTGGTCAGCCCCCTGACGATGGCCGGGTCACTTTGTGCCTGTGCTCTGCTGAGGGCCTCCACTTTGCCACTACGTCCTCTGGACGGGGAGGATTGGCCTGTTTTTAGGATCTGGGTCCGGGTAGATGGAGTCAGGACGGATCCAGGTGTAGTACGCATCCAGCATCTGCAGACAAACAAAACAGATGTGTTAGTGTATGCTGGTTCCTGCAGGTGTTCCTGTGTTTGATGGGGAGGCGGGTTAGCTTGTACTAAGTGGACTTACTGCAGCCTCATCCATGCTGAGGGCAAACAGCCGTCTGCATTGTGGCAGTCTGGTGGTGGCTGACAGCCACACACCTTCCCCCAGCAGCTTTTCTCTTCTGCCACTCTGAGAAAAACAAAACAGTGAATAACTGATAACCCTTTAAGTTACAAACGTTCTGGTTCTTGTTTTCTTCGGGCTACAGATAGGTTTAAGAATATCATTTATTTGATGAACACAGAACACATCTTTCCTCTACTCCAGTCACGTCCCAACTGACGTGAGCCCTCTTTTATATCCTCCCCCCAAAGTCACAATAGCCTGACCCCCGAACTAACATTCTCCTAACAAATACAAATGTATAGAAAATAAATACAAATAGTGTAAAATATCCTGTTACAGTCTTCCCCTGCTACTAGAAGATACATCCATGTTTCAAACAAAAATCCGTAAAACATATCAGCCTTACAATAGATACTAAGGCTAAGAATCCTTGTGCCTGTCTCCCACAACAGGTAACTATATGGACAGGTATGATACAGAACCTTAGTAAATGTAACAAGTGTGGACCAGGGGAGAAAAAAACTGAACTAAAACAAATATGTAGAAAACAAATCAAATTGTGTAAAATATTCTGTTAGAACTTCTTTGCAGACCACCTAAAATAATCTTTTTAGGCTGCTCCCCCCTCAGAGACTGAGCTCTTAACACTTCCCGTTAGTCCCTCCAAAACGCAATGAATCCCCCCTCACATTTTGTGGACTTGGGACTTAATTAAGAGTGTGTTAGCGATCTATTCAAGCTTCCCTGTCATTGTATCATAAAGACAGACACCATATAAAAGTTTATAGTTTATGTATAGGCATCACAAACATCCATCCGTCCATTAATGTCACGGCAGCATCACAAACATCATTGATTAATTAATTCAGTGCTTCAGACATCAAAGCCAGAGTCTCATTAGAATCACGCTGTACGTTTTACATTTATTGTCCACTTGATGGCACCATAGAGCAAATGAAGCACCATGAAGCTTCAACACACGAGTGAACCAACTGGATAGAACGCTTCAAAGCTTTATGAAGCTTCATCTCGCCATCACTAGACTTCGTCCCCACTTGGCTGGACGTATCTCAGCATCCTGGAGACGTCGTCTACCTGTGATAGAAGAAAAGAGAAGTGGGAGATGACCATGCAGAGAAGAAAAGCCACAGCCCACCCAGCCACACAGACTCCCCTCAGAAACTTTCTGCTTTATGTCCTCAGGGACTAAGTGGAGACAGGTGTTCCTCATTTCAGGCTAACGAGCTCAGTCAGACTGTGGCCCGCTGGGCTGCAGCTCACTACAACAGGACATTCAGCCTCATCTTTC